TGTTCAATGGAACACTATATGCCTCCATGTTGTAGGTGTGATCCTTGTCAGTTCTGAGTAGGGTGAATCATGATCAGGATACACTAGTCCTACATATGTATATATATGCCTTCAAACAGACTTCAGACAATTTATGCTCTATATATAGCTTTTAGCATTTTTTGACAGAATTTGTAAGGTAGCATTATTTCAACTTGTATTATGAACTATTTTGTTAATCAGGGTTGTATATAAGCATCAGTTATGTCCCTTTAGTTGTTACCGGACCTGTGCTGTGTTATACTACCCTAATCAATACATATGGAGTCTATAAAGACTGGAGTGATCCTGGCCAGGCAATTACTATCAAGCCAGGCTTCTCTGTGCAAATTTACATTTAGTTAAAACCCAGAGCTCCAAGTTTCCACCAAACAAAGACATGAAAGAGAAACTGCTGTAGACTCTGCATTTGTAGTCTGCCTTCATGTTTTATGTTTAAGGTCCTCAGTTCTCATACATATGCTATAAAGAGTCTTATGCAATGGTGTAGTTGACAACTTATCTCAGTGTGTCTAGTTGGAGTTTGAAAATTATTTTACTGTAGTTTACCCTTTCAATAGATAAGAACTTTCTGCCAGAACATACCCAGTAGTGAAGAGAGGGTTGTTGTTTTTTTTTGTTAAGTAAAATGGTGTTCATTATTTAACATCCTATTTCTTTACTGCTGCCTTGGGTGCATGGTTGTGATCAAGTATATTGATTTTATAGTTTCATTTTGAGTATAAGGTTCTGAAAATTTGACTTTTAGACCGTATCCATCTTCAGCACCTTTAAGTAAACTCAAAGGTTTGTTAGAGACTTGAGATACTTTCATCAAAATGACTATTCACAAGCGGTTTTTGTACAGTTTTGACTTTCGCTGTGTTGTTCAGGTTTTAAGTTGATATAGATGACAATGTTAAGGTAAAAGTGAATCCACTGTCTCTTTGTGTTGAGTGACACACTACACTTACAGGGACTGACGTAGACAGGAAGTACGTTATCCATTGAGGAGATTTGTCTGCCCTCTTCCTGGAGATTTGGATGAAGTCTCAATGAGTTTCTTAAATTGAAACAACAAAGCAAAGTGTCAGGAAGTTGACTTTGTTCTGTATTCCTCAAAGAGTGGGCTTTCTGTGTGAAATATGTTTTAGTACTCTATTTCTTCTGGGGTTCAATGGTTTATTTGCAATACTAAAAAATTATCACAAATTATCTGAACAAGATAACAATAATTCAGGAAATATTGTTTTAGTTAATCAGATTAGAAGATAAAATTGCATGGAAAAGCTAAATACATGAAATACAAAGAAAAAAAGAAGGTTAAAAATTGGCCCAGGGGTTTGTGTATGTCTACATATAACTGTAGGGGGCAGGTTAACCTGTGTGACTGAGGACCAGAACATGTGTAGGGATAGCTAGGGGTCATATTGTATAGAGGAAGAGAGAATGCCACCATTGTAGACTAGAAATAGATTGATACAGCTACATAGATCGATTCCTATCTCTTAGTGATGAGGTGAAGCCACTTACAAAATACCTAGATCCACCTGTGGGTTGTTGTTTGTTTGTGTAGAGATATAGGTATAAAGGTGCATTCTGTATATGGAGAATTCTGTAGAACAAGGTGGATGTGGACAGAAATTAATGCTATGTCAGAGAGATCAAGACCAAACATGGTAGGGTATTTCTCCTTGTTAATGAGTACTGGTAAATTTTCCTTGCAAATGTAGTTGACTTAAATCAACATTGTGTATGAAAAAAGGTACATAAACACAGGGATAAGTTTTGTGGAATGGGAATGAATTGTGGTTCCTTGATAGGTACTTGATCATTGTATTACATGTTGATGGGGCTAGTCCTTGGACATTGTGATAATGTTTTAGAGAGATCTTTGTAGAGCCTGGAAACTTCTCACCTGTCCAAACAAAGGGGGGCGCTCAAAGTTGAATCACTAATCTACAGTCTAACACAGACCAAAAATACAACCAAATTTTAAAGTGTTTGAATTGTGATAGTCGATTATAGCCTTCTAAACCACAAAAAGCTTGTGGGATTCATGCAAGGAAAATTTAGCTGTCTCCAGTTATATGAGAGAGAGAGCGGGGACTGTTTATCGTTTATCACAGTAAAATCCCATGTACCAACAAAGGGCTCGCCTATCTGTTGTTCAGCTCTGGCGAGATCCATGAATCATGAATGTGGAATTTAAAGTACGGTCTTTTTAAAAATAATAGCCCCCGCAGAAAGGAAATGATTGAAAAAGTATTCCAGATCTTAACTTTGAACAGTCTTCAAAATTAGTCATTATTTCTTTCAAAGCTTTTCTTTATTTGAGTACTTGTTTTAAGTTTCTTACTTTGAATATGTTGAAGGCTCTTTTCATTATTGTGGCAAACACATAAGTAACAAAGTAGGTTTCAGAAAGGGAATATGGGATTAAACATGAAGGTATATGCTGCATATTGATATGCATATGATACTGTAACTTTCTACACAATTTTTTTTAAAATTTTGTATGGAAAAGAACAAAAAAGAAAAAAAGAATCTGCAGTGTATGTGCCTGCTGTTGATTGTGTGTGTGATAGAGAGAATATAATCCTTGATTTTGATATTGATTCCTGCACGTTTTTCAGAGTGAGAGCCCGAGCCGCAAAAGAAGGAAGACTTCCAACAGCTACATAGATTTGACAAATCATTCTCCCAGCCCCCCTCCTACCTGGTCAAGGGAAAGCACTGAGGCAGCCAGGTTAGGGGTCAGTCGTAGACGAGTGTCCAGTCAGCGACGGGTGTCTGGTGACAGTAGAAGATCCGTGTCAGAGAGAAGCAATACTCCACGAGCAAGACACAGGTATTGTCAACTTTGTTGTGTAATATTGCAATTCAAGCTTACATTGTCAACAATGGTAGCATAAAAAAATTTTTAAAAAGGCAAAATTCTCAAACATTCATTAAGCCCTGTTTCTGAGAACATGTAGAAATGTGATTAAGATTGAGCCAGCATTTGATCTTGGGGTGTGTGTTTTGCCTGTAGAGCTGTTTCATTAGTTGTCAGGGTTGGGTTGTTATGTGGATACCATGGTTTCTGGTATTTGATAATCAAGTAGGATCCGAGCATAGAGAAGTGTTGATAATAGGCAAGTCTGCGTAGATTGTGGGAAAAAAATGCTTGCCAGCGTGCTGAGGTAGAGGGATCAATGAGGAATTGATTTTCTTTGTGTTTTGGGCACGACTGTCAGGTTTGAGGGGTGAGGAGGGAAGGGGGGCATTGTAAAGCCTGCCACAGTGAAGTGGCATTGTGTCCATACCTCTGTGTGGCACCTGTGCTTGCTTGACCATGTCAAACATTTTAAGGCTTGTAGCATTGGGTATTGATTCGCTGTGAGTGACATTGATTTTCAGGACTCTGTTTTCCTGAGTGGTACAGCACAGTGTAGAATCTCTTCGTGCCTGGTGGTTTTTTACTCTCCTAGGTTTACATTGTTATGTTAACACGCCAATCCACTATAAGTTTTAATGTGACAGAGAATGAAGCAATTTATAACTAAACATAGTCCCCTTTCTTCAAATTATAATTACTCTGCAGTATGTAATAAAAATTTAACACATTGTTTTTACTTCTACTGTACAAGTAACTGTAAAATGCATGAATTCCCAAGGAGTTTGGTGTGTAATAATTTGAAGTTTATTTTGTTTTTCATTACAGTAATACATGTAGTTTATTATACATGTGAAAACGTGATTTCATTATGATAAATGTTTTTAAGGGTAGGGCTCCTCTTATGAAAAACAACAGTGATGTATAATATATTTGTTGACACTAGATCATATTCAATATGATTACAGTAATGGGAAAGGTTTATTGTTCTTAACATACATGTATGCTATAGACAAAAGAATTGTGAGGGTTTGTTTTTCTTCATTTTTGGTTTTATTTCTTTTTTTTTTTTTCCAATTTATGTAGTTATATGATGCCCTATTTTAAGAATGAGTGAGTAAAATGTGTCCATTTTGTTATACATGTTCAGTGTACTGGTTATTTCTGCTCTGTGCTCTGAATGTCAATGACTTAAAAAAAACAGTCTGTTTAATCATTCCACTTAATAATCAGTGCTAGAAATATTGATAAATCATCACCACATGAAAGACCGTCATTTCATGTTACTGAATATTTAGAAGGAGGTGAATCTTGTGGTTATTTTTCCATGATGACAATTGAATTCTTAAAATTGAATACCTTAACAACATTGTCAGAAAATGCTTTATTAATATGTGAATGTATAATTGTCAGTGATAGTTTAGCAGGAAATGGAGTCCCAAGTTAAATAAGTTCCATTTTGTGCCGAGTTTGAATTATTAACATTTCCGCCAACCTTTTGAAAAATGGTGCCATCTGTTTTGAGTTACACAGAACCAGACCACTGAATTACAATTTTTATCAGAGTTGTGTTAGTTCAAGTTTCAAGCTGGTTTAAAAATATTTGCTAAATATACTGGCTGTTTCATTCATTCTGAGTAGAGAGATTTCTGATGAAAAATTCATGTCTCCTTTTTGATGCTCAATGTAAATTCAGTAATATATTGCTTCTTGAGAGGAGCTACATAATTTTTTTTATTAGTATGTCAAAAGAAGAACCATTAAACTGATAAGTTGCACTTATTGTTGTCAGTTCTATTAAAAATATTTTTTATTATCATAATTATTGGAAAAGATTTTGTTTTTTTTTTAACTTTACCAATTCTGTGTCCAATGCATAATGCTTGTGCACCATGACATCACAATTGGCAATTATGACATCATTATCATTATGACATCATAGAAGAAATATACACAGGTCTGTGACATAGTTTGGAGCTCAAAGAAGTGTTGCTATGTTTCCATGTTATTGTTGCTAACAGATTTGTCAAAGGGATAACTGGGAAGCAAACAAACCAGCAGCTATTAAAGGAAATCTCATACCAAGTTGAAATTTCAAATGCAGACAGATGAAGAGAATGAAGTGATGGCAGTCAGTGAACCAGAACTTTATGATTTTGCATTTAGATGTGTAGTCCATGCCGTGGTTCATTGTATTATACAGTCTACTGCTCCAAGGGCTGGTATGTTGTCTGGTGGCCAGTCAGGAGGTGGAGAGATTGATAGCCTTCATAGAGTTTCTACTGATAGACAGACTGAAAGTGTTAGTCCCTTGTCTGAATCACATACCACAGAAAGGGGTGAGATAGCTGACAATACTCAGTATAGACCTCCAACTACTACAGGTCAGAATGGACATGCTGATGATACCCATAATGCTTCTCTACATTCCATGACACCTACTGTTATTTACTCAGAAGTATCTGAACCTGTACTGGTGGGGAGTGTAACAGCTAGAATACAGTTTGAAAACCAGATGTACAATGTTCCTCCCAGAGGCATATATGTTTCAAAATTTCTTAGACAGATATATCAAGATGATGAAGGAATATCTAGTACTGAGCAGCATACAGTTCCAGTTTCAAGGTCATACCAAACTCACTCTGACACAAGCAGGATGATGTCAAGGTCAAGAAATCATCAGAGAAGTTCCAGATTTGAGGAAGATTTTGATGGGAGGAGGCAAGTACCACAACAGATGGATGGTCTCTATAATGAATGGAATGAAATCAGTAGTGAGCAGTATGGAGACTTGGAGGGCAATGAAAATAAACACCACTTTAGATATGGAGTGAGGGAAAAACCAAGTGAATTAAGAAGTAGGGAGAACAGTGGTCACTTAATGAGAGGTGGAGGGAGGTACAACAGACCTGAAAACAGAAGACATTATGTACCCAAGCAGACAGCAGATCTGGGAACACAGGATCAATATTGCAGACAAGGAAGGGGGGAAAGAGGAAAGAAAAGAGATAATAATGTAAGGGACCAGAGTCAGCAAAGTAGTACAGACAGTCACTCTTTTAATCAAGCAGCTGGTGCAAGAAATACTCATTCGTACAGTGAAACATATTCCAGTCATTCAAACAGTATACCACATTCCAGTAACATTGACAAAGAATATGAAGACAGAAAGTCAGACCAAACACAGAAAAAGACAGATATGAAAGGGCAAACATCTTCTCTCTCAACAGGCCATAGTACAGTAGAAACTGGTCAAGTTAGACAGGTATACAGTAGACATGAAAGAGACAGACAGGTCAACAATAGGAAGAGACAGGAAGTGCACAATAGAAGGGAAAGAAACAGACTGGTCCATACCAGACAAAGTCCAGTATTACATAGTAGACAAGATAGAGGCCAAGAGATCAACACTAGACAAAATGGAGCAGTACATTGCAGAAGTGAAAGAGACGGTCATATCACAGCGGGAGAAAGGGACCCACAGTTCAACCTTAGTCACAACAGAGAAAACAATGGGAGTGGATCATCCTTTAATTTAGCAAATCTCAGTACCAGAAACTCTGGTCAAAGTGAAGAACATCGTAGGAATGTTGATAATGCGACCGAGGGAGGAAGGATTCGTAGTCAGGTAGACACTAACCCTGGACCTCTGGCCACACTCTTCCAACAGCTCTTACACCAGTTTTACCAGGAGGTCATGATGTGGATATTTGTAACTACAGTATGGCATCCTGATCAAGAAAACCTTAGACACATGCTCAACACTATTGCAGATATCATCCAGGAGCCATGTGTTTCTGTGACAACCAGCATGGTGCAGGGGTTTATGGTGGGGACCAGTATAAGCCATGCTGGCCATTTCCAGCTTTTGATTCAGATTTTGAATTCGCTCACTGCATACCACTTGCTCTCACCAACCCTGACCTCTTTGTTCAGGGTACAGAGCGTTGTGTTCAGCATAAACCTAGCTCCGCGGCAGCTACTTCATAGATTTTCTGACATTGTGAGGAATGCCATGATCGTCATGATACAGCAGCACAGTGCACGAATTATTGACCAACCAGGATGGTGATTAGATTTCTTCTTTCATCCAATTAAAATATCAGTTGCAGCATGGTACCAACATTATAAAGCACATTATGAGGCAATCAATTTTTGTCTCTATCTTATTTCAGTTTTTGTTGTAGTTTTAATGTGGCTTTGTTCGGTGGCTGTGTTTGTTTAGAAGAAATAAGATTTTTTATAGGCTATTTTCTGTAATAAACAGCATTTTGTTAAGCAAAAATGCATAATTTTATGGTCAGTTTCATTGATTAGATTTTTAGGTTTTCATTTTCCATCAAAATATTTTCAGTAATCCAATTGGTATCTCTTTCCATGAATATGTATGAAGTGTATAAATATGTATGTTCCACCTGTGAACATTTGTGACAGGAAATCTTCCTGCCCTGGAGAGTGTGTTTGACTTGTGATAATGCAGGGGCTGCGTGGAGCCATTGTGATCTAGAAAGCTGTGTATAGCTGTAGTGGGCCTCTCTGTTTACTTTTGATTTGAGTCCCATGAACATCTTTGCTTGGCTCGGAGAGGAATGTACAGGTGTTGAATATTAAACAGCTGGGGGTTTTAAACGAAGGCCATTTTTTCATCAAGAGGATGCTAACTCCTGCAGCTGCACTTTAACTTAGTTTCATAGAAGTAGGGGAAAAAAGGCACAGCATAAATTAAAGAGAATTTTGTCAGGGATATTTCAAGGAAATAAAATTGATGTCAAGAAAGCAGGGTGTCATTCTTCAAAAGAAAATGAAAAATCTTTTGCTCGTTAGTTACACTGGATAATTTAAAATTCTATTAATCTATGAGCACTCATGAAACCAGCACTCTAAAAAGTGCATGTAAATAAAAGAAATATTCTAGTCCAAGGCTAAAACTGGATTTTGAAATTTATTGTGATTTTTATATATATATTTTTTTATTCCTGTTTTAGCCCGGGCACACGCAGGCGAACCAGGGACAGAAATAGTGGTCCACAGAATGAGATTGCTCCAGAGACCCGGGCCTTCCAACCGCCACACCTGATGAATCCCCGACAGATTCACCCAGCCTCTCTCCACCCTCACATCCACGGGGCCCCACAGCAGGTCATGTTTGACATGGAACAGGTAGGAATTTACTACTGAGTAAAAAGGACTCGTAAAGCTTATAAACTTTCCTCATTCATTCTGAATAACTGTATGTATTACCATTTTTCATGATAAGTCCTAAATGGCAGGTGTTGTTCAGAGAGTTAGGGAAAGTCAGTATGATAGAGCTGGAATCACAAGGAAGTTATGGAGTCCATAAGGAAATTAAATATGGAATAAAATCCTTAAGCAGCCACTTCCTGTTTTGTAAAGATGATAAGATTCAGTAATCTGCCATATAAGAAAGAAGTCGGTTATAATTTACAGAAACCACATTTGAATTTGTTGACATTTAGGATATTTGATCATTTGTTAGTGACATGGAGATTCTGTGTGTGGAAATTTAGACAAGATTAAACTTTTTCGTTTCTGCTTCTAATAGGGAGAGATTCATTTGGGTGAAAGATGCCAAGAACATTACCATTTTACAGACATCATTTTGTTCCTTTGTTTCTTGTATGTTAGCCATTTTGAATCTTTAGCCCTAGGCCTTTTTCTTTGGTATAAGTTAAGGATTATAGAACTTTGTTACAGGTAGGAAAGGATAAGTGATAACATTCTAGGTATTTTTTTATAAACAAAGGAAAAATCCTGTGACATATACATCATTTCATGCAATTTTACTCATACATAACAGGAATGTGAATGCAGAAATAAGAGACTGATAGTCTTTAATGGAAGAAGTTTGAAGCTTGAATCTCTAATCAACATTCCATGTTTTCTTGTTACGTGCTTATAGATTCATAGTCTGCCATAATCTCTATTGGCTAATATCAACCAGTTGTTTGTTTACAGTTGTATTGTGATTCTCAGGTTATCTCTGACTTTTGATTGGGTAAAAATCTGAATGTTAGCAATCACAAAGACACATAAATGAATAACAATATACTGTTATATAATATAGAAAGAAGTTCTTTTTTTTTTATTTTGATAACTACAACCATATTTATTTCAGGTTCCTGTGAGCACACCGGTATCTATGACACCATATGCAATCCCAGTGTGCACAGGGCCTCATCTCCCAGTGTGCACTGGGGCCCACCACCCAGTCTGTAGCACGGCGCCCACATGGTCAATCCCAGGTTGTGGTGTGCCACTGCCGTCCTGTAATATGCAGCACATCCCCACATGTAGCCTGCCACAGATTCCATTTCATCCAGGCTCCATCCCGCCTCTGTTTCATCATCACCCTGCCGCCAATCATATACCTCCACAGCATCTAGCTCCACCCACTCACTTTAATCCAAGTGCTCGAGGGGTAAATCTTTTTCTGCATTCATGCATTTTTAAGCTCAAGAATGAAAACAAATCTTAAATGATTTTAGATTTTTTCTGTCTTTTTATAAGATCAATAAATATTTGATTGATGGTTGTAATTTTTAGCACTCTGAGGAAGAAGTTTCTGGTCTCCTAGATCAGCGATCCCGGTTTCCCCTACACCCAGGGACATTACACCCTCATGGTGCCACTCCTTTTACCGCCTCTGCCCCAGTCATGTTGCAGGAGCCACATGTACACCCTACACCTCATGATATTTATGTAAGAGCCCTACAAATAGACATGATACATCTCATACCAACAATAGAACAAACCACATACATCATTCAGAATTGAAGATTTGAGATTTTCCGATATGATTATGATTATGGGACATTAATATGCATTTAAATATTAAAAAGACATTACTCTGTTGTATTTCAATTGTGAGTGAATTGTTATGACTGACTTTTTCAGGGTCCATTTCAGCGTCACTTTGCTCGTCAACGTACAAGTGGAAGAAATGGACGTCTCCGTTCACTTCCCCTTCCTCCTCCTCCTTACCCAGGATTCCTGTTACACTTCCTGTAAGTTAGAACATTAACTGCGAAAACAATTTGTTTTGTAAAAGTTACTTTCTATATTAAAACTTTGTAAACTTATTTTTCATTTACTCCATAATGGCTTTAAAAAATATAAGGTACAAGTAATTGCTTTTTGATTTCTTGTGTGATTGATTTAGCACACATATTTAAGAGAATATTAAGGGGTTATATATTTGAATTGATTGGTGTAAACCAGATATATTTATTATAGGGCCATGTTGGGTAATCCTCCAATGTAAACCAGATATATTTATTGTAGGACCATGTTGGGTAATCCTCCAATGTAAACCAGATATATTTATTGTAGGGCCATGTTGGGTAATCCTCCGATGCCTTATGGCAGAGACTTCCATGAAGATGCAACAGAAGTTGAAAATTACGAGGTAGGGGAGATAAGACAGATAATCTATAATTATAACACTATTAAACATATTGTGTCCATTAAATCTATTATAACACTATTAAACAGATTGTGTCCATTAAATCTATTATAACACTATAAAACAGATTGTGTCCATTAAATCTATTATAACACTATAAAATAGATTGTGTCTGTAAGAAAACTTACCAGAGCTGTGGCTATCTTCAAGGACAATTAAGAAGCAATTTAAAAGTTTATTCATTCAGATTTTTAAAAATGTCTTTGTATTGCTGAATGATACGTATTTATTGGTCCATGTGATTTCAGGCATTGCTAAACTTGGCTGAGAGATTAGGGGAGGCCAAACCAAAGGGTCTGACCAAACATGAGATTGAACAGCTTCCGGCCTACAGATTTAACAAGGAAAATCATCACTCAGACATGGACCAGACCTCCTGTGTGGTGTGCATGTGCGATTTTGAAAATAGACAATTATTACGGGTCCTGCCATGCAGTCATGAATTCCATGCCAAGTGTGTCGACAAGTGGCTGAAGGTAAATATTGTCAGGACTGGAGAAAAGGTTTTCTTTAACTTCAGTGCAGGTTAAATGTACATACAACTTGGTTTGTCATTTTGATGATTTTAACAACAATAGATTTAATTGCTCATAAAAAATGTTAAGAAGTGGAGCACAAAACAGAATCTTCATATACAGTTGCTCTCAAACATCAAAGTTGATGGAAATTAATTATTTTTTTAAAGATGAAGGCACTATTTAAAGCTTTCATAGTTTATTCACTTCAACAAAATTTTATTCCAGACAAACAGAACATGCCCAATTTGCAGAGCTGATGCCACAGAAATAGCCAGCCAGTCTGACTAAGGAATCAAAGTGACAGCACAAAAGTGTTTCTTATTTATTATTTGGTCAAACTGGTTTTTATTTCTTAAAAACTGAAGCAGATGTAAGAAAACAGAAAAATAGGATTTGGTGCATATATATTATTTGTTATTATTGAATGTTTCTCTTTTTTTTATTATTAGTAATAGATGCTTTGTTATATAGATATATATATAAAAATATATAATTTCACTTAATACTTGAGCATACAGCTATACAATGCTTTTTGTTTTTATCCACTATAACAAGTATATCCCTGTTTTTTGTTGAGGTGAAAGGTTTTTTTTCCTTGCATAATGAACTGATGTGGTTGTTTCAGGGATGTTTTTTTTCACATCATAAATATTTTATGAAGCCAGTATCCATAGCCTAACATCTTGATTAATTGTGTATATTTATTGTTTATGTAAGTTTTGATCAGTAAAATGGTAAATGACAAAGCTTGTGTATGTACAGTAATATTTTTGTAGGCCTGTAGACAGACAGATCCCAGCAATGTCTACATGAATAACAAAAATATTCAATTAAGAAACCAAAAACAATGTTTAAAAAAAGAAATTAGAAGAGGTTTTTTTTATTTCTTTTTTGACAATCAGCAGTAACTTGAACTCAATATTAAAAGTAGTGCCTTTGTGTAAAAGCAGTGAAGGCTCAAGCATGCAGGTATTTGTTTTGTTGGGGTTGGGGTTTTGTTTACGTGTCCGTGTTTGTTAGTAGTGATTTTGTACACATAACTGTACATGTATAACAATGGATAGTGTTATCCTCTTGTTCTAAAATTATATACAGATTTTAATGCAAAGTTTTCTTTTATTATCCAAGGAAACTAGAATTTAAGACCTTGTTAATATTTGTTACTTGTAATAAATTTATTATTAGATCTAAAAAAGTATTTATTACATTTTAGGCCAATTCAATTTAGAGCAAATTCAGTATTAAAATGTTTATATGTATTTCTTTTGTTTAGAGCAATGCAGATTTATTGACAAGATTTACTTTTGTCACAAAATTGAATTGGCCTTTGTTCAGATAATATATATTGTAGGAATTTTGTCCTTGTTTTGTTTTCAACATTTTGTTTAATGTGTGCAGTCTTGCATTAAGAGATGTTTATAAGGGAGTTAGTTGAAAAAAGAGGAAACAACAGTTATATTGTGTAAGATCCACCTCGTTGTAATGGAACCAGTGTTAGAATAGAAGAGCAATCAAAATGATATCCATTTAGAAATATACTTTCAATATTTGTCTCGACTGCAGATGAATTTTGAACTTTGTAAACCATAGGATTTGAGTATTAATTTGGTACAATGAAACCATTTGATTATTAAGCAATAATTCCAAAAATGTTCATCCAGGCTGTATTGTCTTGGTATTGCTTAAATTGTATCCTTATAGAATGAAAAACTTTTATTATAAGAGTTACACATTGAGAACATATACACCCAGCTATATTTCATTTAATTGTGAAAGCTGAGCAACATGCTTAACTAGCGTATCTAGGCACCTATTTATTTCTTTCTGCGGAGAAATCAAAATGGAGAAACATTATATATATATAAGCAGATTTTGAATCCAGGGCATTTGAGCCAAAATGTATGAATTTTTTTCCCCTTCAAATTTATATTGTAGCTTGGAAAATAATGGCTTTATGTAATGCAAAGTATTTCCATGAAGATAGTAAGATGATCTGCAGTTATGCCATTGAACCTACGCACAATAAGGATATTGCAGTATGCAACAAATGTTTGTTGAATTTTATTCTGATTCCATTTGTTTATTGTAATCTTCATTAGAAAGGGGGATGTGAATTCCAATGTTTGCAATTTTTTCTCTAAATTTTTGGTAATTCGCTCACATACAATAAATTAAAATATTTGAGTATTGAATATAAAAACAGAGACATTCTTGAGCAGCATTTTTAAACGTATTTTTGACCCAGTTTATGTATGTGTTTTATTTTAACATTTGTTCTGCTCTACAAAGAATTTGAAATGCCCATGCCCCATGTAATGTGGAATTTTACAAGTGCCTTGATATTTCAGAATTTTTTCCCCTCACCTATTTCTTTTGATCTGATAGAAAGCTGTGCATTGAGAGCTAATTTTCAGTGATAGCCAAACAGTTCTACCTCTCTACAGATGTGACCATGGTCGTGATTTGTCGCAACTCATGTTTTTACCCACACATTTTTGTTTTGCTTTCATTTCTTAGTATAGTACTAATAAGCAGCTTTTTTCATTTTATCATTACATTGTGAAGAAGGAAGAGGTGGCATTTCTTCTTCTGGTATTGATGTTCTTTGGCAAGACACAGTGTTACAAAGTAATATTATTCATATTTTATCAATATTTGTGTCATATTAATCTACCTTTTCAAATATTTGTTTTTTTTTTCATGCAGTGCAAGTCAATCAAAACATAGAATTTCACCCTGATATACTCTAGTAATAATAGACTACACTGTATTATGCTGTAAAGCACAATAAAAGAATAAAAATTACTACTTTTTTGTTGATATTTACTCAGTAGCAGTGGGAAAATAATCTAAGTAAATCCAACTCACTTGATCCACTTGCGTTCACGTACAGACATATGGTCAAGTACTCTGCATGTCTATGAGCGGATCAAATAATTTGAATGAAAATGAGCCATAGCACATTGGAAAGGTACTTTCACCTACATTAGAAACTTTTTATTTAAACCAGTATATTTACATCCACTGAATATTATCTCTTATTTTTTATAAGAAATCCACGGTCGTCTATCAATACTTTAACACCGCTAAGCAAGCCACATGTATAGATTAATTGAGCAGTGGCTCTTCCATCAATGAAACATACAATGACGTACGTATCAATAATACAATATTTACATCCACTGAATATTTTCTCCTTTATTTCAATAGAAAACCATTGCCGTTTATCCGTTCATGAACAACACTAGGCATATCATCTGTACAGATTTCTTGATCAGTGGCTGTTCCATCAAATGAAACCTACTATGACGTACATATCAATAATACAATAATTAATCTTTTTAATCCTACTTTAAATGATTATTTATACAGATATAAATATAAACAATAAAATGTCTTTCTTCGGTTGTTAGTATGGGAATTAACGTCGCAGCCATTGCAGAAAAAATTACATAACCCGTTTACGCGGGTTATGTATTTTTTCTGCAACAGCTGCCACATTAATTCCCATACTAACAATCAAAGAAAGCATTTTACTGTTTAATTTAACATACTTAATCCTACTCTTTATGATTATTTATACAGACATAATTGATAAATATAAACTATATAAAATGTCTTTCTTTGTTAGTATGGGAATTTATGTTGCAGCTATGCAGACAAAATTTACATAACCCGCCCACATGGGTTATGTGTTTATTTTGCAGCATTTATTCCCATACAACCAAAGAACGCATTTTATTACATTTTCAACAGTGAAATACTGAGATTTATTTATTGAATAAAAGTGATATTCTCTCACACTGTGAAAGGATATCAAAGTAAGTAAAAAATAATTTCTGGCCTGTCATACTAAGATAAAGATAGTAACTAAACCGTCTTGATAGAGACTAAAACTGCCAATTTCTTCCCAAATAAGTTGCTAAAATCCATGTTACAATGTTTTCAATCTCACAACTGCTCAGCTATGACATCACAGCCTGAAAATTCAATGTTTTGTAGTTGGATATGGAATTTATTTCACGAGTGGGACAGGATTTCTTTTATATTTTCACGAGTGCGAAGCACAATCCTCTATTTATTGTTTAAATTCTGTTACACAATCTATTAGTTTTTACTGGCATGTGTTAAATATCACTGTAATAATATGTAAATGTCAAATGTTCCTTTATGTGATAAATAAAATAAATCATCAGGTAAATATGGAGTATAAATTAGTAAAAATACTGAGGTATGTACCAAAACAATAACAAACTGTTGCCAATGTCGAGCCTTAATCAGAAAAATAACATTTAAGTTGCTTTACAGTGTTACTTAAGGACATACGCAACATAGTTTGAACTTTATTGTCTTTTTCCCTGGAGTTGAAGAGTTTCACTATACTTAAAGGAAATATGTGCTACATTTTATTGTCTACATATGCTGTTGTGCACTTCTTCTAGAGCAAATTTGGATAAACAAAATATTTAAAATATATGTTTAGTAACTTTTGTAAATTTTTCTTTGAATTATACAAGAATTTTCATCATTTGATATCTTTTCAAAACCCCTGGTAATGCATGCTGATTTTTTGTCTAAAAACAAGCCTTCAACAGAAGTGTCCGTCGATTTGAATATAGATTTTATTTTACCCTTCCATGTTTTTTGCGTAACCAGCAATACATTATTTTTTTTATACATTTCTTAATCGTAAGATTGATGCAAATGATTACGTAAAATCTTTATCATGACATCAACGATGTTCAAAGGATTTCCCGGTTTACGTAAAATTATTTTAAAAAGTGGTTATAGCACACTGTAGAGAAATAACTTGAAGTGTGCGAAAATGTGTGATTATGTGTAAAAAGAGACAATAAATATTTATCAATTTTTGCAAATAGTCATTCACTTAAGATTTCTTTTTATCAAAGGCACAGTATTGGTGAAATGCGAGTGGAATTAGAAAGAGAATATACATGTATACCTAAACAAGGAATTTATTAAAAAAAAAAATTAACCAACACTGCATACCCTTTACCTAAGAGCACTTTTTTGGGGAAGGTATGAGCTATACTTGTCCAAGATCAGAAAATATGTAGTACTGCAGACAAGTATTTCACACAAAGGTCTGTTTTGATCTTAAAATCTGACCATTTTACACAGAGGTTTGCACTGACCTTGACATTTGACTGAGAAAATTAGTTCCTGGTCACTGTTCACACTTTACTTATGGACGCTCTTTGGTTGAAGTATGATCCAGATTAGACAAAGGGAAGAGAAAATAAACTCAAAACAAAGATTTTACAGATTTCTGCTTTGACCTTGACCTTTGAATAACACCTTTAACCATGGTCACTTTTTGAGTGAACTATGAGCCAAATGGTGTCAAGAGGAAAGGAAATATGCTCACAAGAATTTTACACAGAGATCTGCTTTGACCCTGATGTCTGACTTAGAAACTTGGTTCAAGGTCGGTGCTCACCCTCTACACACAAGCACTCCACGGGTTTAGAATTAGCACAGGAGTCTGAAGTTTTTACTGTGAAAAAAAAAAATATCAGGAAAAAATACTCCACCCGCTACTTTTTAGTAGAGGGTGGAATTTTTTTTCCCCAATAAAAACTTCAGATTCCTGTGGTATGAGCCAATGGGACCTACTGGAGAGAAAATAAGCTTCAAACAAGGATATTACACAGATATTTATTTGCTCACTAAATATATACTGCAGTAGCAGGGCAATACTAAATCATATTTACAAAATATCTGGATTTTTTTTTCTTCAAATTTTGGATCCTGGGGTTAAGAAAATATGTTAACCATTTTCTTAACCTATAAATCTTACATTTTTTGTATAGGGCTAGCTGCTCATTATAAATAATTTAACTGCAAGATGTCCATTTGTTATAAAAAAGATCTTCAAAGATGTAATTATCAGGGTAGTCTTCAATACTGTAAGTCGTATTAATTCCACGGTGTCACGATTTCTCAAAAAGTACCAATCGCGAAGGTTTTAATTTCACAGTGCAAGAAATTAATTTAAATTTCGTATAAGCATTTAAACAATTTTAAAAAATAATGATAGCATCACTATGGGTTTAATTTCGCGGAAAAATTATGAATCGCGAACATAGTGAAATCAAAACCATCGTGATTATTTGCCGATCTACAGTATATGACCAACTTGAACCCTAAGCCTATCAGCCATGAATTTTGTAATTCTGGTAGAGGGCTGTGAGTTAAATATAATCATGCAAACAGTGCGAAAAGATTTTCAAAATGTTTAATTTATTTTCAATCTATTTATTGTATGTGTACTTTAAAAAGCGGATTTCATATTTTAGCGGCTCTGGCGCAGACAACGATGCGCTAAGAAATCATTTATAAATACAATACACGTATACGGCACGGAATGTATAGCGCTAATTCATGATTTCGCCAACAACTCCATACCCAGTGATTGCGCTAAATTTTGAATACGCAAATTTATGTACACGTAAAGCATGGCCGTAGGAACCGGGGGGGGGGGAGGGCACGGGGGGCCGTGCCCCCCCCCCCCCAATAATTTTCCCGACCTATACAATACTATAGAAAACATACTAGTAACTACTATACTACATGCTTGTGCCCCCTCAATAATAATGTTTGATGACCCTTTTTTTTTTTTTTTTTTTTTTTTTTTGCTTGTCAAGACAAGAAATTTTGGTGGTTAATAGTGCCCCCAAATTGAAAATGTATGCTTGTGCCCCCTCAAAGTGAAATTGCTTCCTACGGGCAAATGGACAAAAATTTCATTCAATATATGACAAACTTAGCACTATTCAGAGGCCCTGAACCATGGGCCTAGGGGCCATAAATTTCACATTTTAGAAGAGGGCTAAGGTTTATTATAATCAAGGAAATACTTTGCTTGCTCAATGTCTATGAGCGGAGATGTTCAAAGAATGATATTACATTAATTTTAATTATATGACCAATTAAGCTGAGCCCTAGGGCCTTAACCACTGACCCAAGGGCCACAAATTTCACAATTACGGTAAAACATTGAGTACAGTTTCTCATCATAATCATGCTAGATGTCCAGCAACAACAGATGTAATGCATTTTCAGTATGACCAAATTAGCCCCAGCCTTCAGTCTGTAAACCAGAACCTAGGCACTCTGAATTTTACAATTTTGGTAAAGGGTTCATTGCTTATTATAATCATGCCAACAGTTTGACTGCTTGATGTGCAGGAATTAATAAGAATTAAGAAGAATATTTTGAAGATTGCATTAATTTCATGGTTTTGACAAGATCCCCAAGACCCTCAGGGAAACAGAGACCATGGAATTTACAATTTTTGTTCCCCTTTGCCTATAATTGGTTAAAATTGGTTCAACCATGCCAGAGAAGAAGTTGAAAATGTTAAATAAAAGGTGAATCACAATGACAGATGAAACAGATTGCAACAGTTCATCTGAGTGACTCAGGTGACCTAAAAATCCATGCCATCAGCTAAGGTCTGTCAGACTGACATTTATCCCATGAGCAACACAACAGTACTCTGTGGCGATATTAAAATCTTGTTTGTGATATGACCCTTGATCATGAAAAACTGGGCATTTAAGGATATTTGATAAGGATATTTTATCATAAATGTGGATCCTTCCCTCATGTTTGTAGTTATCAGATAAATCTACATTTCACTCATATTTGGAAAATATGGAGCAAAGACCACCTTATGTGGAAAATTTGTTTTTCAATATGTGGAAATGGTCAATTGTATGCATGCTGTTTCATAGATGTATTCTATCATTACTTAAGAGATAGCAGCATATCTTACATTAACAGATATCGAAGATAATTTTGTAAAGGTTACATTTACGTAAGTAATAATCTTCATTTCATTCATAACAATATAAAATTCATTCTATGAACCACAATTTCAGGCTCAATATGACATCATTGGAACAATCCTCGAATTACAAGTAAAGATGTAACAACGGTGGTTACTAAGAAACACATCTCAGCCTAACTGAAGGATAATAAATCTTTCCATGATTTTCAATATATCATATAGTATATTCATTAAAAAAAATAATTCAAAATATGTGAGAAAAATCTTCCATGAAAAGTTCATTTAGTATAAATAAACTTCCCAAACGTGCAGAATTTTTGTGTTCCAATATGTTTCCAGAAATATATGTATGAGAGTCCTTCACGAACTTCAAAAAATGAAATTTTTTCATGTTTGTTTATTTTTTTTTAAATTTCATTGGGGCATTTTCTCTATTTTTCATTGGAAATTAGATGGTCAGCCTTGCAATTCAATTCAGTTCAATTTATTCACTCAAAAACCATGTAAATGGTTACATGAGGTACATAAACATATAAAACATATATACATATATGAGATTAATTAAGCTAGCTAGGGAGAACAGACCATACTATTAATCTTAGTAATAAATGTACATAATTTTTTCAAAGAATCAACATCATTTTGGCACATAACTTCACAAAACTTCATAGTGTTTGGCTTAGAACAAAATTTTGGGTTCAAAAAAAAATTCCTCGCTTGGTTTAAAGCACTACATTCTAAAATATAATGATATTCATCTCCTATCTGATTACTATCACATAAGCTACAGAATCTTTCACTTCTTTGAGTACCATTCCATCTACCTGTTTCAATTGGAAGGTGGTGGTTTGTGGTTCTAAATTTAACTAAAGTTTTTCTAAATTTACATGATAACAGTGTTAAATATTTTTCGCACTCAAAATTGGTTTTAAAAATTCTATAATTTAAACTTTTTGAAGATTCTTGAACTTCACTATTCCACTTTTGAATATATTGATCTTTTAATCTTTGTTTGACTGTAGCAGTTATCCATTCTACATTATAGAAATATTGCTCATACCATATATTTGATAAACCACATCTGTCAAAAATATTTTGTACAAATGAAATCCAGGAGTTTATCATTTCTCCTTTATCATATTGTTTACGTAAATACATATATACAATTCTGCACAATTTGTTTTCTTTCCCATACACAAGTTTTGCCCAATATTTTACCATTCTTGGGTAAATATTTATATATAATGGAAACCGTCCAGTTTCTCCATAAATCATATTACTTGGAGTGGTACTTTTTAAATTCAATATATGTTTCAGAAAACGTAAATGTACTCGTTCAATAATATCAATATTTTCATAACCCCATATTTCACAGCCATATAACAATACTGGTAAAACTACTTTATCAAACAGATCCAATTGACATTCGAAGGGTAGATTAAATTGTCTAATTTTACGTATCACACTATACATTGCCTTTTGTGCTTGTTCACATAGGTGTTTTCTTGCTTTACATAATGAGCCTGTACGAGAAAATACAATCCCCAAATAATTAAAATCTTTGACTACTTCTATGACACTGCCGTTATATGTAAAAATATTTTTTGGTTGTCTACCCTTTGAGAAAATAAGTATCTTTGTTTTCTTAATATTCACACACAATTTCCATTTTTCACAATATACGTAAAATTCATTTAATGCTCTTTGAAGATCGTCAGCAATTTCCGCAAGTATTACAGTATCGTCGGCATAAAATAAGATAAACAATTTCATAAACAAAAACAGCTCATCCTCTATACCTTTGCTAATGCTCGACAAACCGACAATATTCTTTTCTATCAAAAAATCTTCCAGGTCATTAATATACAATGAGAATAAGAAGGGCGATAAGTTTTCCCCTTGTCGTACACCAACATTACAGTTAAAAAATTCTGATGACACACCATTCATCTGTATTTTAGATTTGATACCATTATACATATTTCTAATAAAAGTAAAACATTTACCGTTAATCCCACTTCTGAAAAGTTTACACCAAAGACCATCTCGCAATACTGTATCAAATGCTTGTTTGAAATCTATAAATGCACAAAACAATTTTCTTCTGCTGTTAATTAGTGTCTGTGATAAGAATTGTAATAATAGGATATTGTCCAGAGTAGAGTAACCTTTTCTGAACCCAGTCTGGCTTTCTTTAATGAGTGTGACATCTTCTGCATAATTCTCTAGCCGATTACTTAAGATTCTCGTAAAAAGTTTACCCAGACAGCTTAAAAGGGTATTCGGGCGATAATTCTCAGGATGGGTTGGGTCACCCTTATTTTTGTAGATTGGTTTCAGAATACCAATTAACCAATTTTCTGGTACAATACCAGTTTCGAAAATAAGATTAAAAAGATTTTCATAAATTGGTAAAAGGTTTGGTAAGGTTGTTCTTATATGCTCATTTAGAATATTATCGAAGCCCGGGGCCTCACTGTTCTTCAAATCATTAACAGACGAGGAGATTTCTTCTCTAGTAATTGGGTAGTCTAGCAGACAGAGACACGATTCAATTTTAGCCTTCATTGGGAAATATACCGGTATATGCAATTGCTAGTTTAACATATGTGGTCCTATAGGCCACTTGTTGCACTTGAAAAAAAGCTAACAGGAAAAATAAATTTATTCTTCATTTATAAATTTTTAATATTTAAATTTCCAATTAAGTTTAAGTAAAAACATGGAATCAAACAAGAGACCATGTTTGATAAAACCCTCTTTAACTTTCTACAATTACTGGTTCCACAACATAATAGAACAAGAACAATGAGTGATAAAAGTTTTATTACAGATAATCTGTTAGTCAGATATTACTATAATATGAGCTAGATATGATGTATTGGCATTAAAATACAACAATACACACTTAATATGGTATATTCTCTCTCTCTCATGGACCTTGAAGCTCGAGAAATGTCCAGCCACACACTAATTGCCTATAAACTCATCTCTGATAAAACTCTGTGTTAAAATAGAAATAGATTCTGTGGTGTCTAATCTCTGTGAGACCTACTTTTATGTGTGTATTACACCACCTTCATCACAAGTCAATCACAAGTCAGAACAGAGCCACATTCTTAATGAGAATCTGTCTACAATGGCACCACCACAAATCCCTACAAACACCACAGCACCACCTTAACTTTTAAAATCAATCTCTTTCCTAAAATTCTTAAAACCACAATGCCACTTAAACTACTAAAAGCAGTCTTTCTTACAAAAAACCCTTCATGTAAAATGCTTACAGTCCTCCAAGCTAAACACATATGAAAACAATATCTACTTCAGACATCAGCTTAAAGACCACCAGAGATAAAACACACCTAAACTAATCTAAAAATCCACTACGATACTACATTTTAGGCTATATTTAACTAAAAACTATGCACACAGATGAATAAATACCAATAATTTAGGAGAATTCAGAAGAAAATATACACAACAGATACACAGCACATTAACAATAGCCATTTAACATCAGAATCCCAACTAAACCATGGTTAATCATCCATACTTACCAAGGACTTCCAATTATACAAAAATAAATCTAAGTTCAAAGACCTGTTCATTGTTTTTCTCTGTTAAAAACTTTTTTTAAAATCATCTTGTATTCAATGACCAACAATTTCAAAAACCTTTTAAATAGAAGCCCATAGCCAGCCACACATAATACAACAAAAATCAACACTTCCTAGCCATATATCAAGGGTAAAACTTCCTAGCCATATATCACGTGTAAAACCTTTCTTGCCACAGATCATGTGTCCAGTATAAACCTTTTTTTCCCGAACCTGTGATGCACAACTGAAACAATTTCTCTCTACTTCTGCCTTCTTACCATTCCACTCATTACTGATTGCTTAGAGCAAAGGTTAAAGATAAATATATATGGCTCTGTAAATAAATAGCTCTCTGTACATCAAATTCTGTACACTGTACACAATATGTACAATCATTATCATGACCCTTAAATAATCGGCACTGATTTTAAGCACTACATCAAACAGGTTACTTGTATACGTCATTCTTCACATTTACCAACCATCCATACAACACTGTTTCACACCATTTCATTGTTTTCTCCCATACAAAAGCATGTGATTTAATTTCTTACACAAAATTTCTTATCGTCAATTCTCTCTTCTTTTCTGAGTATTGCCTCATCAAAAAATCTGACCTTTTTACAGTTGTAATCATTTGTGTAGTTCCAAAGTAAAATTCCATAAGGTAACTTTATTACAAAGAAAAATATGAAGACTCTTAATATAAATCACACATTTTAAGGAAAAATAAATACAAATCCACATTCTCTGTTAAAGTTCACTTACACAAACATAAATATACACACCGCACAATCACAGGCACACAAAAATCAGGACAGCTGCACTCAAAAGTCATGACAGTGATATTAGGACTATACAGTGTAAGATAACAAAGCTGGGGTCTTATTTACACATAAATCTTGTATCAACATTTATTGACCCCTGTATAGAGCCTTACTTTTGTACAGGTCTGTACAGATGTAATTATACCTATTTACAATGGGGCAGTTACATCTGACAAAAGATGGAATAAGCACTTATTGCTGCCAATGATATCATCACACACATAATAAAAATTTGGAATCATTAATCCTTGATAAGAGTAATGACATTCTTCTTTTTTGTTTTTTGTTTCTGTATAATGTCTTAAGTATACATAACAGTTAGATCGATAGTAAGAAAGAACAGATAACAGCTAAAATAGACAATAAAAAAATAAAAACAAATAAAAAACAAAAAAAACAGTCAATAATGGAGACAGAACAATGGCAGCTGAGCATCATGGGATGGCTTAGATCTTGAGTGGACGGAACCCTGGTCGATTGGTCTTCTCCCCGGCCCAGGACTTGGACTTGAGTCGGAAATGTCGTAGATCATCAGAATGGTCTTTGTGTAACATTGGTTTGTATGACTGAGGCTCACAAAGTGACTGAAAAATATGCAACAATCTATAAATAAAACATTTCCAAAAAAAAAAAAAAAAAAAAAAAAAAAGACATAGCAATGCACATCTCTCCAAAGTGAAATGATATCCTATGTACAATGTTTTTAGAAGTAATGTTCAGTATAATTTACTTTGATCTACATCTTTTGCCATATTTCCACATCAGTACTTTCAGTAAGTAACTAGACCGCTGCAGAAAAACTCACCTTCTGGTTTTCATAGAAGTTCTTATAACCCCCCTCTAGGATGTAAAGCTCTGGGTAGTGCAGGTGGGGGTAGCAGTCTTTGTTTGAATCTCTGTCAAACTTCCTCAGAAACCGACTCCTGAAATAATCAATATACACACCTGAATGATTGTGACAGTCTTAAGTATCAAATTTATTTCTTGTAATTCAATCCTATGGGTGTGATACTGATAAAATTTGGATGTTCTGAAATACATGTACGTAGGGTCTTTTACTTTAAGTAAAAAAAAAAAAGCTGGTAAAGCTATTTCATTTCAATAAACCAAGAGCACTAAGTGATTATTTTGTGGGTTGATATTATAGGCTTACAGATTGGGTCCTCTCTCTGAGGAGAATTCACAGTGGAATATGAGGATATTTCTTTTGTCTGGGTTCTCTGTCGTTACTGGGGTAGTCAGAAACTTCTCCAGGATCCCCTCCTTTGTGTAGATATTTTGGGCACCCTACAAAATCAAATCAAATCTTATTAAAGTGTTTAATTTCACAATTAAAAAAAATAATCCTGAATATGAATTCTTACAACTGAAATTGTCTCCGATTTGAAATGCCTTCTCAATTTAATATTACTTTAGCTTTATTTCAATGTGTGCTTAATATTCAATGTTAACAATCTGTGAGTACGGAAAAATGTGAACAAAATCACCATTAATTATTTCATTTTGTTGTAACAGATGTCAGATAATGATAAATTAAGATTTGTGAAACATACCCTGATGTGTCCACCCTCGTACTCGTATGGATAACGGCAATCGATGACAATAGCCTGCTCAATCACATGATCATACTCCCCGAGAATAACCTGCGACAACTACAACACAAAATAAAACCTTATACATTTCTTTGTTTTTTAAACAGTTTCTGCTAGGAAAGTTTATTCAGAGATAATCCATGGATGACTGGTTTACACTTTATTTTGCAGCTTTCTACAGAATTATAGTTAAAATTCATCATTTAAACTTAGAGCCAATTTGCAACTGTACTGTATATAAATTATGTAGAGGACTTCAATAGAATATCTAGCGTTTTTTAACTTGTCAGAGTAAATTCTGGCTACCAGGGTCAATGACTTACAGTTTCTGATGAAATCGCCTTCAGGTCAGAGTGTTTTCCTGGGAATGTAGGCAGACAGTAGGCCTGGAAACAAAATTGAATCCATTTTAGTCAATTTTTGTTTAAAAGCAAGATTAGTTATTACACTAGCAAAATTTTTGTCCAAAAAATTAACCTGAATCATAATATTTGAATAAATGAATGTCCTTGAAGACATTTTAGATAGCCAATGAATAAATCTTGATGTAGCAGTTGATTTAATAAATCAAAAAAATATTTTCTACATTAATTTGGACTAATTAATCAATTTACTGTTAACTCTAAAAAATGTAGAACTGTTTAAACAACAATTAGAAACACCAACCTTAGAACAGTCTCCAATCAGATCTGGCTCGTCAGCGATTCTGTTGAGAGCAGATTTAATCATGGCCTCAGACTCGGAGTGACATCTGTGGAGCTTTGGTTTCAAGCTCTGCAAATTATAAAAAAAATTAAAGTATATCTTTTAAAAAAGTGTCCAATCAAGGAGTAATTATCAATTTCATGCCAGTGTGTTCTTATTTATAAGTAAGAATTTTGGTAAAGTGCTGCACAGTGGACTAATGCACATATTCTGTATGTCATGTATCATTTAAAAGTTCATACAAATATTATTTACAAAATCTCCCTCTCAGGTTCTGATTTATTCTGGTCAGTATTAGAATGAGGATCATTAACTGTGGATTATTTACCTTCACAGGACTGGTCACTTCTGTGGACACGGGTCGCCTTCTCTTACTCTGGATGGGTGTGTTCTCATCTCGGTCACGCTTGGATGATAATCGTCTACATTTGAAGTCTAGAGTTGACTGAGATCGCTGAAGTAATCGCCTCTGAGTACGCCGAATCTACCAAGTATATTTAACAGTCTTCAATCTCAACCATAATTTATATTTTTAAAACATACCAGAGAAAAAATGCAACAAAAAGAGTCTAATAAAATATGACTCTTGCCAGCAATTATACACTAATTCTTACATTACAATTGTTTTTAGATGATTAAAGTTATGAATTGTTAATTAAGTGTATCTCAATGTGGGTCAGATCTCTGATATTTAATTACTTACAATGGGAGTTTCATTGTCAGTGTCATCTGTAGAAAGGGCTGTTGAGTTCAGGACTGGTGCACTAAATAGTTGACACAGGCTGCTGGGAACATTGTCATTAATCTACAAATTCAATCAATAATTGTACTCAAAATATAAACAGTATACTTCTATAAACAGTATTGATAAAGGGGGAGTGCATGTTTCACTTTCCACGTCAAAAATAAACCCAATTTACATTCCATTCCTATATGGATGAAATACTGCTCTTTATTAACATACACAGTAAAACACAGTTAGAGCAAACGCATTTAAAATGAATTCATGCTTATAGTAAAGTGACTTTCATTCATTGTAGCTTTAAAATGTATTATAAACACAACAAATGCCATTTTTAATGAATCAAATAAGTTTGCATTGCAAGTCCCTTCACTATAAGAGTGATTTACTGTAAAAGTAGTACAAAGAAACATTAAAATTTGAAAAACTGAAATATGGCATAAGTTAACCACTCAGCAATCTGTATCTTGTAAGGGCTTTGACAGAATGTGATATATTTAATCCCTTTGGGATATAGACCATTACCTCTGCCACTTCCTGGTCCATGAAGCTATCCAGGAAGCCGTCATCCACTTCCTTCCTCTCCTCCTCCTCATCATTCAGGAAGATGTTTGTCTTCAGTGGACTGATGGACTCTTCTTGTGGGGTCAGGGAGATACTTGTGAAATCCTGCAACAATGTAGAAAAAAGAAAAATGAGGATTATGTAGAAAACACATGACTTCTTTCTAATTGCCATTAACTTTTAAAAGATTGAGTAGTGCCTAATGTTTTTCAAAGAATAGATAAGAGATAACATTTGTAAGAAATGTGCCTTTATGCATCAGTTGTGGCCCTTTATTAGTGACAGACTTGGGCTACAGAGGGTGCTTCTTTATGAATTCCTCTACTTACCAGTCCTGTGGCTGAGGCTCTACGTCTGGAGGGTTCTGGACTGCTCTTTACAGGGGAGTACTTGTGCGGGGAGCAGGTGTCCTCACTGATGATCTTCGTCACCTTGTTACGTCGGGGTACACCTTTGGGGGCCACAAAGAGGAACTCGTCATGTGAATCATCCTCCTACAAAGCAAAAATGATATATAATGTGTGACAGACGCCTTTAATATTGATAGTGTGTATGAAAATTACAAATAAACTTGAATTTAATTATCAGTCAAATTTATTTTCACTTTAATCATTCCAAGGATTTTGCTTCAAATCTAATTCTTGCTTTCCTGGTTTAAGAAATTAAGCATCCTCTCTGTTTTGAAGGATCCAAATGTTTTTTAGGCTGATTTTCTGCCTTCTTACCCTGTCTGTCAGGCACACTCCGCTGTCCTGGGAACTGTTCTCGTCCATGTAAAACTTGGGTTTGCTGAGGGTAGACATCTGTGGGGATCGAGAGGAGGGAATGGGTGGGGACACATCTGTGTTGGGGCTCAGCACAGGGGAGGCTGATGTTGTGGGTGGGGACACGGTACATTCGTTCTCCTTGTCGACGAAATCTACTGGACTGAGTCGCATCATGGGAAGCTATGAAACATTTTTAAAATTAGAAAATTATTGTACATTTTTACAAAATTTTTGTTAATTGCCTCTTGGACAACAAATGGCACGCTTGGGTGATTTAAATTCATCTCTCCATGTGGCGAATTGGGTCATACTGCAGGAATGGTAGCAAATTTGTAAAAAATTTACCAGTAAAATTTCATGCAAACTTTTACTTTAATTGTATTATAGAATTCTAATGTACTAAATCTCTTCTTTCCATAGTTTACTATAAGGGAAGTATATTTAATTTTATCATAAATTGCCCATGATTTTAGGCAAATATAAACGTCTGCTTTACAGTATTATCCACTGGAATTGCAGTCAGTCCTACATAATGATGGATTCATTGTCTACTTACAGGCATGGACTGTATTCTTCTGAAGGATATGGTCTTCTTCCTGCAATCAGTCAAAAATAATCCCTGAGACTCCAATTCTGACCAAAAACACTCATCACTTAAGTCCAGTGCCATCCTAACACAGGAAACCCAAGTCAATGTATGCGAGAGTGAAGTTCTTAGTTTGTCAGGTCTATATAGCAGTGTAAGAGATCACAATGTCCCAACACCCAAAGTGCTGAACTATATATCACATAGATCTCAACACTTCCTATCAATTAGAAGTATTAGAGATGCATCCTAATTGATTTGTAAGTGGCTAATTGGGAGACTTTTCTCACCATCTTCACCTGTCCAGGTAACAATGCTCAGGTGGGAATAATTTGTGGTCACTATACAAACACCCTAACAGGTAAGGTACTCAGGAGTCATTTAGAACTCTCTATTACACTTCTCTGTTCCCCAAAGTGTTCTCATTAACACCTATCACAACTGGACAGATTAGTAAAAATCATAATTACACATCAGAATAGTTCCCAGGGCCATTAGATGGATTAACACACAGCTATTAGTGATCAGAACTTCACAATAGATTAACTTCAACAAGATTATTATAAGATAATTTTTTTGCTACAATGATGAAGTGAAGTTCTTAATGAACTTTGGTAAGTGCTCTGACAAGCAAAAATTATATGTCCCTCAGCAAAACCTACGTGTAAAGCTGGTTTTCCCTTAGAGTTACAGCATTGCTGTTCAATATTTTGAAGCAAAAGATAGACAAGAATGAGCAGAAAATACATCCCCTTAAATTTTATACCATTCTCCATATGATCTACTAAGGAAAAAAAGAATCATGAAACACAAAAGAATGAACACAGCTTGTACCAGATAAATTTCCTATCATAGGCTTGGACAACAAACTAATAAATTCATAATACCCCATTATTCTTATAATACCAATGTGTATGACACACTTTTAGTCCTTGTCACATTTTTTTCTGATTTGTAAGAATCATAGAGCTTTAACTTTTGTATTATTTCTACCTTCATAGAACTAGGACCTTTATAAAAGCACATTTTGAATTTTATGCCAGTTTTTCCATCTGAAATGCCCATGGATTAATTTTTAATGGTCTGAGAACAAGAAGAATTATTAGTAACCAGCAAAAAGAGTTCAAAGCCAAGATATTACACCACAAAGGCCCAAATTCATATTTAATCCTTGGTATTTACAGCCATCAAGATACATGTGTATGAAAGTAAAGATTAATGGTTTATCTGATATCTTTCATTCTCAAGTCTATTACATCCACCACTGGAAAATTGGAATTTATATAATAAGATACTAGTACCCTATTCATTCCACTTAGTACTCTTCCCTTTAAAGTATGTATCCCTTTCACTTTTAATCAACCCCTCACATGACTTCATTAATGTCATATTATACTAAATTACTCTGAAACTAGATGTGTCAGTTCTACATGAATGTCCTGCATTTTTTTCATGGGTAATAATATTTATGAAAATGGGTCAATGAATGTGAAACTCAAACTTGATCTGTAGTTATCATGATGAAGTCCAGAAAACTAACTTAGACGAATGACTTTGACAGAATGATGAACGGATGGAAAGGGGTAACATTATATACCCCAGCCATTCATGGTGGGAGCATAAAAATGTTATTCAGCTCTTTTTGCTCTCAATTAGGAATGGTACTAATACTGATTCAATTGGGAAAAATAGTGTGGAAATATCACAAATTGGGAATTCTTTAGCATTTCAACAAATCATTTAATGACATTTACTGTAAAATTAGCAACTATAAATCCATGTTTTACAGAATAAACATAGAATACATTGTTTTACTAATTTTAAAATATGTTTTGTTTTCATGTTTTATGGATATTAACTTAAGACTGTGTAAAAAGTTTTATCAATCAATAGTCCTTGGATTATTGCAATATTTTTTGTGTAAAACAACTTTCTTTCTTTTGAAGTATGTGTACATTACTTCTCTTTTGCAATGTTTGGTTGTTCTTAATCATGTTAATGCAACTCTCAACTATTTTGGTAAACTTGAAAATATTCTATATCAAAGTTGGTTTTAATTAAATGTCATTTGAAAACAGCCAATTTCATAATGTTACTCTCTAAATGTCATTTTATAACATTTTTTTTCTAGGGGAGGGGGATCAATGGTGAATTTAGAGGGGGGGGCCGCCCCCTCCCCTTTTGTGTCCAAAATATACATAAGACTTAATATATAAGTTTTTTGGTGTGGCTGTGGGCCCCTACCCCGACCCCAAACTGGTTGCCCCCCCCCCTTTCAAGATTCCTGCATCCATCACTTGGGATAATATTCATCCAGTTAGAAATATTAGATGCAATTGTTTGTCAAAACAGCACAGACCCTATTCCAATTTACTTCATTTCCTAAGATAACACCTAATTTTAAAAACTGGTAAATGGGTTAACAAATGAAAGTGGAACACCATATGAACTAATTTCTTGTGGATAGCTGGAATGAGCTTAACATCCTTTCCTAGGCCGGATGTATGGTAGGTTGTAGGGGTGTGGGTATGCCCCCCCCCCCCCCCCAAAAAAATCATTTAAAATTTATAAACTACTATATCAATAAATACTCAACATGAAAACACTGTTGTTTGATGTGTTACAAAATGAGCAACAGATGTGGTCCTACAGTGTCCAAAAGGTCACAATGCAGTGTTTAAGCCACCAAAAAGTATGTGCAAAAGACAGATTTTTCTTTTTTTCCTCTGAGGGTGGATTTTTCCCCACCTTTCTTTCTTCCTTTTCTTTTGTCACCTACTAGGGAGCTTTCTTTTTCTTCTGATGCCTAGATTGTGTTCGTGCCTATTAAGCAAAGCATATACCAACCAAAGTTTGAAGGGTATGGAAATCTGGAAAAATGCTTTCATGAAATCCCCATGCCTGTTGCATATCTGAGGATCTATTAAATTCGATAAAATAAAACCAGAGCTTTGTAATTTTAACAACTGATAGAATAATTAAGATTCTTATAATCCATTTCAAATATGTTATCCTTCCCTCGGACCAAAATCTCTATTTTTGGTCATATTATACATTTTTAGGCTACAGCTGTGGAAAGAAAAATTATAAACTTTCTCCTAGGGCACTGCAGTGTAAACTGAAGTTAGATGCTGCAACCAATATATGCATAACATCCAAAGATATAATTTATGTTGGATTGATTTGTATATCTCTTATGCAAGTTTGCTTTTCATAACCAGTTTCACTCAACAAACAAGAGGCCCAGTCACTTGAGTATCAGAAGTTTCTCAGGTTATAATCACTCTGGGCCAAACTAGAACTGGCCTTGACTGATGTGATAACAAGAAATATTTTAGAAACAGATATCCCCCTTCCCCATGTGGCAATATAAAAAAGGCTCAACTTTAGTTCAGAATGTCTGTATTGATAGTGAAAAAATGGTTAACCTACTAGTCAGAGGCAAACATAATTCAAAGTTTGATCTCTATCAGACCTTGATATCAGTAGAGGTTGAGGTTAAAATTCTGGAAAGGTCGGAAAAAAAAATTACCGGTCGCTCGGACTGATTACTTGAAGAAAATTACTGGACATTTAAAATATTTAACGGTTTTGCCGGTGGGACCGGTGGATTTCAATAACTCTGGTGTTGGGACTCTGAAATTGAATATTATACATTTATACTGGGTTTGAGAAAGAGTGTGCTAAAATATCAAGCATCTGCCATGAGTAGTTGCGAGAAAACTGACGAAAATTTGGTACAGACAGATGCACAGATAAACAGGAAGTTGACATCGGATTTGAACACCACTAAGGCTGTCATGAGTACCCGAAATAACCGAGAACCGCGGTCTAAGTTGTTCGGTTCGGTTCCGTTCCATTTTTCCGGATTTCGGTTCGGGTCTGGTTTATATATTAGAGTCTGTTCAATACAAAAAATGGCGTCGAAATCAAAGGAATGATGACGATAAGAGTGATAAATAAACATCACAACTGAAATCTACTTCATTCCATGACAAACACTTGTCACGGAAGTATTAGATAATTATCAAAACGAGCAGGAATGGTCAGGTTCCATGGCCAATAGTAGGCCAAGTCACCGATGTCTAGACGTTCGCATGGTTAAGACTTGTTTTTTGTATTTTATATTTCATGTAACAAATAAAGATTTTTCAAGTTAAATTCATGAAATTAAGGTTTAAAATAGATGTAAATAACCGACCCGAAAAAACCCGAAACCGAACCGAAAATTTACAAAACCGACCCGACCCAAAAATTTTTGGAACAGTGACAGTCCTAAACACCACAACTGCACTTTCGGACAAAACCTTTTTCTATTTCACCAGAATTTCCTCTGTAGTATCTAATATCATACGGTACCATTGAGTACTCTTGGATTTGGACGCATTGGTTTTGGCATGGGACTCATTGTTGTCAGTAAAAGGGGTCCTTTGGACCCTTGATAACCATTTTCAAAATGAATCACTGCGCTGTGGTGATCGACAGAAACAAATTTAACTACTGTGTAGTTATTCAAAAGAAATCACTCTACATAGAAAAGCTAAGTAAACTGACAAGAATTTTTTTTCCATTCTGCTAGTCCGACGCACTATCATTACATTTAAATTAGCTACCCTGAGTCTTAAAATGACTAGCCCCGGGCGTCGGGCTACCGTATATTTCAACCCCTGAAATGCACTCGCAAGCTCGTGCATTTGTACAGCCAACTGTGCCAATTTTCACCAATATAAGTTCAATAATCCTATAATATATGACCTAGTTAGCCCTTCCCTGGGGCATGATCCCTGGTACTAGGGAACAAGAATTTCATAATTTTGGTAGAAGGCAACCTCCTAATAAAAATCATTACAAATTTGGTAGAGGACTAAGTGTTAATTATAATCATCAAACACTTTGTCAGATGTCTATAAGAAGGAGAATTTCAAAGGTATCATGTATTTTCAAGTATATGACTGATGTAGCCCCATCTTGGTGCCTGAATGCTGGACCTAGGAGGCATCAATTTTATAA